AGTTGAATTATCCATGTAAACAAAACAAAACCACATATTTTTGGCTATGTCAAATTTGAGCAAAATAATATTCTCTGGAATAGGAAGACAATTTTCGACTCAAGTTATTACTTTACTTAGTCCAATAAACATATGACAAAGCAATTGTACAATGTATAATTTCACTTAAATAAATTCCTAGGAAAATTATTTGTTTTGTAACAACATCAAATACGCTTAACTTGCTCTTTAATGTCGTCTTTCTATTCCACAGGTTTTTGGTTGTCATTGTATCAAAAATGTATCAAATTTATCAAAAATGTTGTAGAGCGTAATAAAGATGTTAAGTTGTTCATAATAAGGGATATTTGCTGTCAAAACAACAAGGGATGTTAACGTTTTCATTTTTTTGAAAACAATCGTTTCATTATGAAAACAACGACGAATAACCAAAAATGAAACGATCGTTTTTTAAAAAGTTTGTTTTTTAAAAATGATTGTTTTTCAAAACAATCGTTTTAAAAAAAAAAAAGTTGTTTCATTAACGATCATTAACAACGACCCTTTGTTAACGATTGTTAATAACAAACCTTCATTAACAATTGTGAACGACAACCCTTCATCTGTACTTATCATTAAGTAGTTTTTAAGAAAGTATCAAGAAGTTTTAGCTCCCTAAAACTTTTTAACTTCATGTAAGACGACATTTAATAAAGTTGCACTTAATTTTTTTTCAAAAAGGATCGTTTTTTCAAAAGCGATCGTCTTTAAAAAACATTCGTATAAAAAACGGTCGCAAATTGCTTTTTCGAAAACGATCGTTTTCAAAAACGATTGTTATTCGTTGTCTGAAAGTAAAAACGAGTGGGTTGTTTTTAAAACGATCGGTTTTTTGAGAAAACGAAACGATCGTTTTTAAAAATGATCGTTTAACGAAGCAAAAAACGATCGTTAAACGATCGTTTTCAAAAACGATTACCAACCCTANAATAATAATAAAAAATAATTAATTACTTTTGCACAGCTGGTTTTTAAAAATTTAAATGCCTCTGAAGTAAAATCCAAGTCCAAGTCAACCCTGAGTTAAAAATCGATGCAACTTTGCTAAGCTGAGTAAATGAAGGAAAGGGAGGAGAGTGGGAGGAGTGAGGGTGGGGTGATGAGCAAAGCGGAAAGAGAGAAAGAGCAGAGAGGAATTTCTTGTAGATATTTGCAAATCCCGGACGTTCACCCCAGAGCCAACCCTGTCTGCAAATCTGTCTCTAAGTTTAAATCCCTCCAGCCCCCAGCTATTTATTCAACCAGTGTATGTAAAGCTAAGGTGGGAGTAATATTCCTCCAGCCCCAAGCCATATATTCAACCAGTGTATGTAGAGCTAGGGTGGGAGTAATATTCCTCCAGTCCCCCAGCTATATATTCAACCAGTGTATGTAGAGCTAAGGTAGGGGTATTATTCCTCCAGCCCCAAGCCATATATTCAACCAGTGTATATAGAGCGTATAGAGTGTATATCTTTGCTTAAAAATTTGCCACAGCTTAGTTCTGCATACATTGCATATAAATAGCTGAGTACAACTAGACACTAGAAACCCCACGTGTAGGTTTAGACATTTAATTCTCATAGTCTTTATTCATTGGCTTCCAATCTTTCACAGAGATTTCGACTTCAAGTATGTCTTTAATAGTCATTGTTCGCACTGTCAGTATCTTAGTCTATATAAACTGTCTGTTAGTCTTTTAATAGTAGCCTGGTCTATTTATACACTGTCTGTTGGTCTTTTAACAATATCCTGGTCTATTTATACACTGTCTGTTGGTTTTTTAACAGTATTTAGTCTGCATAAATTAAATTTTAAAACATTATTATTATTAAACATTCAATTAGACTCTGTTTCCTGGCAGATTAATAAATTTCCACCTGTTGCATTTCCAACTCAATTTGCTATAAACAATTGTAACTTTAACACAACACAGTTTATATTGGAGAGACTTTAATAAAACCTGAGCGGGAGTTAATTCACTTGATTGGGCCAGAGCTTCGACATTTTCCTCTGTCAGGACTGGCTTTCCGTTCTTAGATCCCATACTGCCTTTTTCTGCTTGATTATACTGCCTGCCTAAGAGAAGAGTGTTTCTGAGACTGCTTAGAGTGTGGACTGTGGAGTGCCTGACGAGGGGAGGAAGGCCAACCACAACAATTTCTCGTCCGAGCCACATTCTCCTCATTTTCTCGTCCGAGCCACCTAGAAATCCTCGTCCTTTCAACATTATTTTTTTTAAGTGTCTAATCCTTCCATATAAAACTATTTTTTTAAGAATCAAGCCACATTTTTGTAAATCAAAGTAAAAAGTTTCAATTGAATTAAAAGATTTCAAGTTTAATGTCCTTACGCACATTTTCNGATTTTCACTCAAAGCTTTTTCTGTGGGTTTATTAAACTTGTTTAGATTGAAGGCTCAGAGAAATAAACGTTCGGAACCTTACTATCTTCCTTTTTATTATGAAGAGCGTTGAGAGAAGGGAGTCTTACGATCCAATCCTGAGAAATACCACACGGTACATATATTAGGTCTTTAGGGAAATCGCTAAGTAGCGAAACAGAACATTCACAAAATAGTTTCCTATGAACAGAATATTTCATAGATCATTTTTGTGAAAATTGATCCCATGTCCGGCTGTGACATTCGTCTTGTGCTTACTTTTCCGCCTAAAGACAGTACACTCCAGTACAAAAAATGCGTACACCTCTGAAATAACTTTCCTTGCATTAGTATCTTGATCAAACTGATAAAGTCCAATTATTTCTGCCAATTTTGGGGAGACACTTAGATGGCATAAAACATTTTAGGAACAACAGGAAACAAGAGATTCCGCCGGTAATTGGGGATGCAAGTTGTTGTAAATGTCGTCACTTAAAGTCCGATGTTTTTAGAAGCACCCTGCAGAGAACAGGAGGAATAAACATATCATCTTTCTTACTGTACTTTATTCATCTGGAAACCAAGCTGTCTACATTGTCTGTGTTTTTACTTTCAACATAAATAATCTGAAATAGTTCAAATTTTGGTTTCTTTATTTTATTCATCAAAGTTATATGCATTTCACTGTAAACTCATGTTTATTTCAAGTACAAGGCCGACTTCTTAGCAGCTAGGGTACTAGCTGTTTAATGCACATACAGATTATATAACAGTGCAGTACACCAACAAAATCCTCCCCTTCTAATGAAAGGAATTGAGTTTTTGCCACAACCTCAAATTTTTGAATCCCTATTTCTTTACAACCTGATGGTGTAAAATTTTAATATTTCAAACTTAGATTAATTTATGTATAACACATTTCCTAGTTTGAAATATCTAAGGTCTACGACATTGGATTGCAAAGATATAGGAGTTAGAAAATCAGAGTTTGTGACAAGAACTCAGTTCCTTTGTGTGGTGTACGTTTGATGTTTGGATGGGGGACAATTTATACTAGATGGTAAGAAATAATGGGTTTTTGGCCAAAATAAAAGGGTTTTGGCCAAAATAAAAGGCTTTTGGCCAAAATAAAAGGGTTTTGGCCAAAATAAAAGGGTTTTGGCCAAAATAAAGAGGATCTCTACCAAAATGAATGAGTCTTGATAATAATGAAGAAGATTTAATCAGATGTCTCAATTCACAGTGATTACATGCCAGGAAAAGCGGGATCATACAGGGTTATCCACAAAGGATATGATAGTAAAGACGACCTAGATCGAACACAAGACAATCCCTATTATAAATTATGTTATCGGCCTTGAATATAGGTTTTTAAAGGCTTATTTAATAATTTTGCATAGAAAGAAAAAGTTGACAGTTGCAGAAAACCGTAAATATAAGGACACAGACAGGTCAACTTCCGTACAATCGTCTCCTAAGTCTCATCCTTTGTGAATTGTGGATAACCCTGTATGCCAGGAAAAAGATCACAGGCAAAAAAAAGGGGATCACATATCAGAGAAAGAGAGATAACATGATCGGAAAAGATTGCAGAATCTATCAAAGAATCTATAAAAAGATCTTTTAAGGAATTTATTAAGGGCATCTTTTTCCGCAGCTTGAGACACAAGCTCCAAACACACGAGGTCCGTAGGTTCCTGAAAGAATGAAAATGGATGAAAATTAAATATTCAAAGTTTTTACAACAGATGAAATTGTTGTCCAATGTTTCTTAGTTTTTAAATTATAAATATGGTAAAATTGTCTATCATCCTGGTTTTTTTGGTCTTCTTTTTGATGTTTGATTCAGTTTTAAATACCTGGACATACATCAACACAAGACTCTAAATCTCCTCCAGGGCATTGCACGAGAACTTCAGAACCGGTTTCTGTACAAATTAATAATTTTTGGTTTTTAAATTTTAGTACGTCATCATTATCATCGCTCATAATTTTATTTGTCAAAATTTTAGGCTAATTTCTTAGTCATTTTACGCTGGTTTAAACGTTGTATATCTAAAAATGTAAACAGAAGATGAAAAAAAAAACTTAGCCCTGATGTATTTATGTCTAAGAAAATAACATTGATTATTAAATGTAGCAAAACAAAGGTCAAATTTTATTTCACGACTTTAAGGGTTTTCAAAACAATGGTTTATTACTACTGTTCTTGTGTTTTAATATTAATCGAGATAACTCAAATAAAAACGGAATTTATTACTCTTCTTAAATATAGCTTTCTGATTCTTTTATTTGTGCAACTAACTAAATGTCGCCATACCGCGCAAACGTTTACATAATTCGCGAATTGCGCGAAGTCGAACCTTGACAAATGTTCGAAAAAGTGTACACCGAAACAATATACCTGGAATTTCATTGTCTTCAGCAGAGTAATTGATATTGGAAACAGAATCATCCACCGGAGCAACAGCATTTTGATCTTCAACAGCATCTTCTAATGGAGCAACGTCATTCTGATCTACAACAACATCATCTACAGGAGCAACAGCATTCTGATCTACATCAGCATCATCTACTGGAACAACATCATTTTGATCTACAGCAACATCTTCAAATGGAGCATCAGTATTCTGATCTACAACAACATTTTTTAGTGGAGCAGCAGCATTTTGATCTTCAATAACATCTTTTATAGGATAAACAGCATTTCGATCTACAACAACATCTTCTAATGGAGAAACATTAATTTGGTCCTTAGTAACTGTGTCAGATGAAGTAATTAAGATAAAAGTAATCCCTGTAAACAAAAGCAGAAAAGTCCCTGCAAATTCTTGAAAATTATTCTTAAGAAAATCTTGAGACAATTATCAAGAAATTGTAAAACAACCCATTCTCGAGAATTTCTCTGAAAAAGGACAAATTCTCTATAACTTCTCTGGAATTTCTAAACCACAGTTCTCAAGCACATCACATGGCTGCTAAAAACATAAGTAAGAGAGACCCATAACATTGTTGAAACTTGAAAACTTGAATATGAAGACGAGTGTTAAACTCAAGTTTTGATTTTAAAAAGTCCATGGAAAATAGTCCGTGGAAGATATATAAGACAACAATTGTGCGGTGTATATATAATACAGACTCATTTCACTATTTTCACTTTTCTGGTATAATATTAGCTCACTGACAACATTGAATGCAAATAAGATTTCTTAAATGTCTTCTGTTTTATGGGTCTCACTGTCCCATAATCATGATTTCCTAGAAGTTCCATGATGTTCAATTTATTTGATATTTTTTGCTTACCTACGCCTGGTGCTACTTCATCAAGATCTTGGGCTAGATCAATAATAGCATTCAGACCTTGAACAGGAGCTGGAAGTAGCTCTTCAGCTACATCTTCTTCAACTACATATTCCTCATATTCAGAGGGATTATCCGAGAAGTCTTCTTCTTCAATAACTTCTTTTGCTGCATTGTTGTTAAAGCCTTTAATTTCATACAATGTTTTTAATATAAGATTAGTTGACATATGACTTCAAGTTTCAAGACAATTTGATCATAATTGTTGCTATGCTAACATTAATCACATGGTAAAAAAATTGTTGCGACTTCAATGAAATTCACTAAGACGTTTTTCTAACAGTCTTTTAAGTTTCATAAAACTAGCAACTATTTGTATTATGAAGTCACATCCTTTGTGAGAAACCCTGTACAGTGATAACCAAAAAACTGTGGAGCAGGAAGACGACATTAGTGCAATACTGAAGGGCATTTAATGTTGTTACAAAGCAAATAGCTTTACTAGAAAGGTATTAAATCACTAATTAATTGAAATGGGTCTTCTTTCACTGAACAATTACTGTGTCATGTCTTGAGTCTAAAAGTCGTCTGTCTATTCCAGAGTTTTCTGGTTATCACTGTATATAGATAGTTGTAAAATCAAACATTCTAAACTTCCTGTGATCTCTTGATAGTCTTCGATGATGATCCTTTCATCAATCTAGAAAACGGTAATTCCATCCATTTATTAAAAAAAAAACTTTTCATTTAGAGAAAAAGAAAATCATTAAAATTTGAAACTTATGTATTCTAAACTTGAAATCAGAATTTATTAAAATGTTTTTTTGACATTAACCTGATTTAGAACAGGATCATTCTCTGGGATTTCTACATCAATTGCGTCAGTTTCTGCGTCATCTTGTGCGTCATTATGAGCGGATCCGGCATACTGGTAATCATAAACATACTCCTCCTGCGTAATAATAGAAATTATAGTAGAGATTTTATTGTATTGATATAAACTCAGGCCATTGTATAAAAAAGATGCGAAAAAATATTTTAAATTAAAAGATAAAAACAAAAATGATTACAAAAACACTAATATGTTCATCATATCAAATGTCATGCTTTTAAAGTCAATTATTTTCAAGACGACATTCTGAATCCTTGACAAACGCTCGACTACACCAAACAAAAATCCATAGAAAGCGAGCGAATAGATATATTAAATAAGTACAAAAAAACCTGTGGACATTCTGGTGTACAGTCCAAAGGTGAGAGATCGTCCGCTGCATTCTGAGCAACCACAATCTGGTTCTTTTCTAAAAATGGAAAAGAGGAAATCATTAAAATGTTTCCTAAAAATTGTAACATCATTTGATATTTTTGAAGAAATCAGTTTTGGACATTTCTGAACTATTTGAAAAGAATTTATTATAAAGGAACTGTTAAAATTTATTTCAAGTGACCCTCTATTTTCAAGACGACATTCTGAATCCTTGACAAACGCTCGACTACACCAAACAAAAATCCATAGAAAGCGAGCGAATAGATATATTAAATAAGTACAAAAAAACCTGTGGACATTCTGGTGTACAGTCCAAAGGTGAGAGATCGTCCGCAGCATTCTGAGCAACCACAATCTGGTTCTTTTCTAAAAATGGAAAAGAGGAAATCATTAAAATGTTTCCTAAAAATTGTAACATCATTTGACTTCTTTGAAGAAATCAGTTTTGGACATTTCTGAACTATTTGAAAAGAATTTATTATAAAGGAACTGTTAAAATTTATTTCAAGTGACCCTCTGATTGACAACATTACCCTTCAAATGAATTTAATGCCCTCGTTTTTTTAACACCTCTAATTTAGTCTAGTCAAATAGTCGGATATTGTGAAAAAGAAACGAACCATATTTGCCCAGTATGTGAGAACCGCTGAAAAAAGAGAACTATTATCAGGGGGGCTGGATCTTAGCTACCTCTCTGTGTGTATTGGCCTGAGTGTACACTTCGGATAGTTTATACTAATAAAGGATGTTAAGAGATTATGGCCTATTTATACAGTACAAATATCAAATATGCAGTACACTTTCGGAGTACAAGTGTATGGGGAGGTTTTGTATCTTGAATTTTACTTAGAATTTTCAGAACAGTATATTAACGATGAAATATTGCTCTGTAAAAGACTCTGTAAAAGTACGTCTTCTTGTGAAAATGGAATCTTGCATACGATAAATGAGCAGTGGATTTTAATAGTTACATGGAAAACAAATTCTCCATTTAAATATTTTCAGAAATCAGCCCCGAGTACTGTAATATACAGATTGACCTTTGGAAGTGAAACACAAGGACTTTACAATCAGTAAAGGATTAGCGTACACCATCACCCTGTACACTATAACCTCGTTGACTATTATTGTCTATCTAAGCACCAAATATGTTGATTTTACAGTGTTGCCAAGCACTGCACTATGGCACTCAAAAAAGGAATTTTGTTTCACATATAATGATATACAGAATTTTTGAAAATTTGTAGTAATACAGGATATTCATGATAATTTTATGAAATATTAACGTAATTTTCAAATGTCAAGTATTCTGAATAATCAACTGAATCTTTAAAAGTTATGGAATGGTATGAAAAAAGGCCTTTTTCGATAGTTTTTTGTCTTTATTCCTTTCAAGGTCAAAACTTGGCATAGTGTACGAACAGCAATGTTTTTCTACATTTAAACCCTAATGAGCCATACATTGAAAGAATTTATCAAATGTCGTCTTGACAATTTTTCAATTTTACGTAAATCTTAGTATTTGGGAAAATAAGCAAAAAGCCATAAATATGCGGGAACAGTTTTAAAGAGTTACATTATAATCATTTAATTAAAAAACAAAATATCTGCAACATTCCATTATCAGAAAGTGAAGATTACGACATTTGATGAATTCTTTCGATGTATGGCTTATTTAGGGTTTAACTGTAATATTCTAAACAAAAAATTTGTATGTGAAAGTTTGACCCTGACTGAAGATATTTGCAAAATAAAACGACCACGTTTTGTAACGATCGTTTTATTCCATTTTATTGCAAATATTAATAAATGCATATGTAAACATAGTTTTGAAAGCTTGGAAAATTTCATACAGTGAAACCATTTGTTTCGCTACTTAGCGATTTCCCTAAAGTCCTAATATATGTACCGTGTGGTATTTCTCAGGATTGGATCGTAAGACTCCCTTCTCTCCACGCTCTTCATAATAAAAAGGAAGATAGTAAGGTTCCGAACGTTTATTTCTCTGAGCCTTCAATCTAAACAAGTTTAATAAACCCACAGAAAAAGCTTTGAGTGAAAATCATACAAATNAGTAATATTTGTAGAGTTTGAAGCGTGAATAAAAGTTGACATTTACATTTAGTAAGATGAGATGTAACCACCAGCCACCGGGTAGATTTAAGAATTTAGTTTGTTTTATTATAATAATTACTATAATCACTATTTAGTTTTCTGTCCAAAAATGTTCGCTATTTATAAAAGTTTCAAAATTTATTTTTGTTTCAGAATATCCTGGACTAACTATAGGGCGAAATACATTTGGATTCTTAAATTTGAATTCAATGGCTTTTGGTCTTCATTTCAAGAGTTTTTTAATCTTACAGAGCTGTTATAATAATTTTGCATTAAAACGCTTCTGCTGTCAAAAAAGTGAAACAAATGTGAAAAATTCATGTTTGATAAGTCAAATTGCAGTGATCGAAAGTCGCAGGTTGCTGAAACATAAAGCAATGAGACGGGTGTCTTAATGAGCATTCACATTAGGACACCCGTCTCATTGCTTTACAACCAGAATTTTGTACAGGCCTGAGCCTGGCTATCTAGATTAAGCATTATAGATAAGCACTCATTTATCAAAAGTTTTGAGTTCTGGACATAATTAAATCTTGTTAGATTATTGTAAATTAAGATATCAAAAAATAGCTTTGCTGCCAAATAAGTGATTTTTGTGATTTCCTAACTTAGAGTATAAAGTTTATATACCTGGATCCCCGGTTAGTTGCCAAGTTAGAGGACTAGACATAGGGACTGCTTGACTGAAACAAAACATTCACTTGGATTTTTTCTTCTTTAAAACTTAAATAAGAGTAATACAAATTTTATCATATTTTAGTTTTATTTTCCTTGATACATGTTACATTATGACACTTGCCATAAAAGCACTTTTCATAATAACACTTGCAATAATAACGCTTCCCATGATAACACTTGCCATAATAACACTTCCCGCAATTACACTTGCCATAATAACACTTGTCCTAATAATACTTGTCCTTATAATACTTGGCATAATAATACTTGAGATAATTCCAATTGGTATAATAACACTTGCCATAATAACACTTGCCATAATAACACTTGTCATAATAATACTTGTCAAGTTGTCATAATAACACTTGCCATAATAATACTTGTCATAATAATGCTTGCCATAATAACACCTGTCATAATGATACAAGACTTGTCATAATAACATTTGACATACTACCAATTGCCATAAAAACACTTGTCATACCAATACTTAACATAATTACACTTGACATAAAAAAATTGCCACAATAACACTTGCCATAAAAACGATTGTCACGATAACACTTGCCATAATTACACTTGCCATAAAAATACTTTTTATAATAATACTTGTCTTAATAAACTTGTCACAATAATGCTTGACATAATTAATAATACTTGCCATAATAATACTTGTCAAAATAACACTAATCATAATAATAATTGCCCTAATAATACTTGCAATAATTACACTTGTCATAATAATACTTGTCATAATAAATCTTGCCATAATAACATACTTAACGTAATAGCACTTGTAAAAATTACACTTGCCATAACACTTGTCATAATAGAACTTGCCATTATGACACTTGCCAAAATAACACTTGCTATAAAAACAATTGTCATAATAACACTTCTCATAACAATACTTGACATAACAACATTTGCTATATGACACTGGCCCTGATTACCTACACTCGCCATAAGGCATAAAACCCCATAACATAACTTGCCATAACAAAGCTTGCCATAATAGAACCTGCTATGATTTAACTTACTATAATTATACTTGTCATAATTACGATTGCCAAAATACAGTTTTCATAATTATACAACTATTATAATGACAAGTGTTTTATGAAAAGGCAAATGTCAAGTATTGCAGTGGATCAAGTAATAAGGGACCAACTTCAATGAATATCTGTTCAAGTTAAATATGAATTTGGAATTTGGAATTAATTTCTTGTGTGCCACTTCAAGATCAAAAGAAGTGGTTCAACTTAGTCTTCATAAGTATGTAGTTCAACTAATTCTCCCATTTTACTGAATTCAGTTCCAGGATTGAAGACTCAATAAACAGGAAAAAATATTATCCCAGCCAAGTAAATAATAATTCAACATGAACCTGATGTGAATCTGGCAATTTTCAGCTTCTTCCATAGTAATCTTCATTGGACTCTTCCTACGAATATACATTACATTAATCAATATTTTATTAACAATTTTGAAATACTTTATTATTTTAAGAAACAGAGATATAGAATTGTCACATTAGACTTTACTCCCTTCTCCATTGCTGGGAAAAAATCATACCTTGGTATATTTTGTCTGCTGGGAAAATATTATTCCATACCTTGAGATATTTTGTTTGCTGGGGAAATACCATACCTTGGTATATTTTGTTTGATGGGAAAATATTAAACCATACCTTGGTATATTTTGTTTGCTGGGAAAATACCATACCTTGATATATTTTGTTTGCTCGGAAAATAAATAAAACCTTAGTATATTTTGTTTGCTAGGAAAATAAATAATACCGTGGTATATGTTGTTTGCTGGGAAAATTAATAATACCTTGGTATATTTTATTTGCTGAGAAAATTCCATACCTTGAGATATTTTGTTTGCTGGGAAAATACCAAACCTTGGTATATTTTGTTTGCTGGGAAAATACCATACCTTGGTATATTTTGTTTGCTGGGAAATTACCATACCCTTGTATATTTTGTTTGCTGGGAAAATACCGTACCTTGGTATATTTTGGCTGACATGAAGATTTGACAGCACTGCTTCGTTCATGTTCAGGGTGACTGGAGTATTTGTTGGGTTCTAAAAAAAATCTATTTCGGTAACATTTTTTGTTGTGTTTTCTCAAATATGGTCAAAACAGCTTAAAAAAAATATTTTGTAAGTCACACTGCAGAACTACATATGATTATTTAAATCGACAGTAGGTAGTTCAATGACCTGGCTCAAATTCATAAAATTCGGTTCCTCTAATTTTTAAAGCTAACTTTTTGATGGATATTTGTAGTTTGAAATATCAGAAGTGTACGACATCATAAGGTTGCAAATACATTTGTATGGACTATGGATTAGTATAGAGTTTGAATAGAGAAAACTTTAAAATTGAAAATGTTATTATAAAATGCATGAGATGCCTCGAAAGGGGTGCGAAGCTTATTAAATTTCTTCTATTTTACCTGAAATGAAAGATGTACTGTTGAATTGAAAATCTTATCCAGGTCTACGGTGCACTCGCTGTTCCCCATTCCATTGAAACTTTACAACACAAAACAAACATTGAATTTTTTATGTTCCATAAATAGATTTTAACAATAAGAAATTTAACCACCTGTCCTTATAGTACTTTAAATGATCCTAAACTGCCCAATTTACAACAGTACAGCTTCGTCTGATCAAGTATGAAAGAAGCAATTGAGAATTATTAAAAATTAAAAATTTTCTATTCAGGAAAACGATCATGTAAATCGGGCATTGACATCTTTGCTTGATGAGTTACTTGAAATTTCAAGTACAGTCCCTTCAGGAGATAATTGAGAATATATGTTTCATTATCACAATGTACAAAGTACAATGTACAATGTACAAAGTACAATGTACAATATAAAAAACTTTAATTTCTCAGACTTTGGCGTAAAAAGAGCTACGAGCTACGAGATTACAAACTCATACCAGTAATTTCTCATACATTTAAATATGTAATTTTTATTTTCATTCAAGTTTTGTACGCAAAGTATTTATTGATGTAGTTATAATTCTTTTAAAGGTTATGGTCTTACATTGTGCACAGCTTAATTGTCCCTGATATGGTTTGATTCAGAAATTACATAAATCCTATAATTACATCATGATAACATGGACATTAGGGAGGGGGGGGGGGGCGGTTGTTGTTCATAATATTTTATTTAAGGAGGGGGAAGGGGGCCGGGATATTGGATGTAGTTTTTAAAATCTTTAAACTCTGAAAAACTTCTATAAAAATAATTCATTTTATTGTGTAATTTTTACCTCTTTTTCTCTGCAGATGGAAAAAAATACATTTTTTGGATTTATGAAAATTTATAAAAAGTAGGAAATTCAGACAGATTTCGTGATATCCAGTTTTCTTAGCGTAAATGTTTCCATAATTCAGATTCTAGGAATTGATTCATCTAAATGTTCTGGTTCGTAAACATAGTATTTTAGATTAGGAATATACAGTGAGACCTATAAAACTGTTGAATAGGACAACGACATTAAAGCATCTTATGTTTGGTTGATGTTATTAAAAATAAAAGTCAATATTCAAAACCATAATTTGATACTTATTGTCGTCTTCTTATTTCGAAGATGTGTGGCTTTCACTGTTGATTTGCATATGATTATATACAAATAAAAAAATGAACATTTTCCTAAAAATGTGTTAATATCAATCAAATGAGAAGGCAGAACAGCTTGTTTAAAAGAATTATGTTTGAATAATTAGAAGTCTAAGTAAAAAAGGTACCTACTATATCACCAAAATATATAAACACTTTCTTTAAAATTTACGGATTTCTTTCCTCACAAATAAAAAGTAAAAAAATGAACAAAAATGCAAAAATGCAAGATGTTTGTTTTGTTTCCTTATGTGAAGTTGAAGATTTTTAGCATTAGACATTTTAACATTGACCTAAATATTTGGATAGATTAGAGCAGAAGGTTACATGGTTCAAGATTTTAACATTAACCTAAATATTTAAATAGATTAGAGCAGAAGATTACATGGTACATGATTTTAACATTAACCTAAATATTTGGATAGATTAAAGCAGAAGGTTACATGGTTCAAGATTTTAACATTAACCTAAATATTTAGATATATTAGAAAAGAAGGTTACATGATGGTACAAGATTTTAACATTGCCTAAATATTTGGATAGATTAGAGCAGAAGGTTACATGGTTCAAGATTTTAACATTGCCTAAATATTTGGATAGATTAGAGCAGAAGATTACATGATACATGATTTTAACATTAACCTAAATATTTGGATAGATTAGAGCAGAAGGTTACATGGTTCAAGATTTTAACATTATATTTGGATAGATTAGAGAAGAAGGTTACATGGTTACATGATTTTAACATTAACCTAAATATTTGGATAGATTAGAGCAGAAGGTTACATGGTTCAAGATTTTAACATTAACCTAAATATTTGGATAGATTAGAGCAGAAGGTTAGGTACATGCTACAAAATTTAATTTTAAAGGGACTGTAAGCAAAAGGTTACATGGTACAAGATTGAATATTAAAGGGACTCCGAACGTAATTTTAAGCAATTATTCGTATTAAGAGTGGCATGTTCGATTTCCAACAGTACCCTAAACATCTGTCTAATTCAAAGGATACAATGAGATATTCTTGTTTTTCTAGCTGAAGAGAGAATTAAGAAAACTGTCAAAATTTAACAATTTACACTTTTTAACAACAGATGCAATATTTGACTCAGATAAAGGTATAAACAGCACTGATGGAATTGGAGATTTGCTTAAAATTAAAAGTTTTTTCAATGGATAGAATCATTGGCCGGTGTGATATATATTCTTTATTGATTACATTTAACAAATATTGTTCTAAGCTTTAGTGTAAAATATCTGACACAGATCAAGTTGTATATATAGTACGTCAAACTAAAGTAAAATTTAAGTTTTTTAATCATAACTTCTCTTAATGACTATGGGGAGTTATTTAGAACCTTCTTCGTGTGTCTAGTTTGTACAGTATTTGGTCTACGTTGCATTTTCAAAGATTTATCTACCCGATTTAAATACTTTTCCTACCTCATCCTTAATCTTTAAACCGTAACCATTCCCTTGAATCAAAATTTTTCACCTTAGATCCTGTTCCAACATTTAAACTGATGTGTACTGTCGTATTGAACGGATTAACCTGTTCAACAGTTATATCACTGAAAAATGAACAGTATGTTCTAAGCTTTAGTGTAAAATATTTGACACAGATCAAGTTGTATATATAGTACGTCAAACTAAAGTAAAATTTAAGTTTTTTAATCATAACTTCTCTTAATGACTATGGGGAGTTATTTAGAACCTTCTTCGTGTGTCTAGTTTGTACAGTATTTGGTCTACGTTGCATTTTCAAGGATTTATCTCCAGGATTTAAATACTTTTCCTACCTCATCCTTAATCTTTAAACCGTAACCATTCCCTTTAATCAAAAGTGTTCACCTTAGATCCTGTTCCAACATTTAAACTGATGTGTACTGTCGTATTGAACGGATTAACCTGTTCAACAGTTATATCACTGAAAAATGAACAGTTAATAAATGAAAAATAGAAAAAAGTTTTTTAATATTTTTTTCAAAAAATGAAAAATATGAAAAAAAATGTTTTAATATTTTTTAAAAAGTACCTGTTTTTAGGATTATTGTGAGCTATATGAATATTATTGCTCTGAGGATCCTAAAATATATTTATCAAAGTTTTAAACTTGTTGAATTTCATTCCGGATTTTTCAAAAAAAATTTGAAAGTCTCTATTTTCTCAGCTGGGAACTTATGTCACCCCGAACTAACCAGAGAGAGAAGCATTCGGTTTCTTTTATTTGAAATCAAACGTGTTTTCGTCTATAACTCATCAGTCTTTAAACTTACAGATTTGTTTATTTTATACTTTTTCATTCAAAATGTATATGCCAACAAAAAATATTTGATAGAAAAGGCTATAAAATTATGTAAAAGGGGTCAAATTGTGACCGAAAGTCACAGTTTTCTGAAATATTGACAGAACCGTTAAATCCACGTGATGTGTTGCATACAATTTATCCCAATTACTTAATCTTGATATCCACTGTGGACACTTTTGATTTTCTGCTTAATCTTCTCCTTTTGGATATCCCTTACGGGTTCCAACCAATAAGAGTTCTCGCACTGGCTTTGCGCAAATTTTTCGGCTTCTCATTGGCTGCTCGGTTTCTGCAAATGATACTCTGATTGGTTGATTTTTTTATATTTTAATGGATAAACAATTAAGGTTTAATTAATTTGTAGATTAACAAAAATAGGAAATAAAGCATTGATCTTGATATCCACAATAGTTTCTAGCTCTGGATTATATTTATGATTTGAATTAGATTATGCGTTAGATTGCGTCCTTACAAAAATATACTGTACAGCGTCCTCAGACCAGTAATAATGTCTTATTGTTTGAAGTATCAGTATCAGGTTACAAAAAATAAGAGTCTGAGGCCTGTACAGTTTTGTACAAGTACAATTTTGTACCTGTACAATGTTGTACCTGTACAATGTTGTACCTGTACAATGTTGTGCCTGTACAATGTTGTACCTGTACAATGTTGTACCTGTACAATGTTGTACCTGTACAATGATGTACATGTACAATGTTGTGCCTGTACAATGTTGTACATGTACAATGTTGTAACTGTACAATGTTGTACCTGTACAATGGTGTAACAGTACAATGTTGTACTTGTACAATGTTGTACCTGTACAATGTTGTACCTGTACAATGTTGTGCCTGTACAATGTTGTACATGTACAATGTTGTACCTGTACAATGGTGTAACGGTACAATGTTGTACCTGTACAATATTGTACCTGTACAATGTTGTACATGTACAATGTTGCACCTGTATAATGTTGTACATGTACAATGTTGTACCTGTACAATGTTGTACCTGTACAATGTTGTGCCTGTACAATGTTGTAGCTGTACAATGGTGTACCTGTACAATGTTGTACCTGTTGGACTACGCTGACAACTTCACTCACGGCCTGATCTACACTTAGATCAAGGTCTTCAAAATTTGGGGGCAGAGATACAACCTAGATAGATGGATAGATTTATAGAATAATAGATATATAGATGGATAGATATATAGAAGAATAGATATATAGAAGGATAGATATATAGAAGAATAGATATATAGAGGGATAGATATATAGAAAGATAGATATATAGAAGAATAGATATTTAGATGGATAGATATATAGAAGAATAGATAGATAGATAGATAGATAGATAGATAGATAGATAGATAGATAGAAAGAAAAATAGTTAGATAGATATATTTATAGATAGATAGTGAGATATATAGGAAGATAGATAGATAGAAAGATATATAGATAGATAGATAGATAGAAAGATAGATAGATAGATAGATAGATAGATAGATAGGTAGATAGATATATAGATAGATGGTTATTTTGCAAACCTCATATCTGGATTTGTTGCTGCTTATTTTGGTTTTTAGGAATATCATGGTAAATAATGATCAACCAGATTAATCATACAATCTGTATCTCACGTGGGATTAAATTCAAGATGTTTTAAGATCAAAATGTTTTAAAACTCAATTGTTTAAATTAATTGAATATATTGATTGAATACATCAGTTGTTAGATGTTTTTAGTATTTGCTTGATTAGTTGCTTGATGTTTAATTGATTGATTGATTTGTTGGTAAATTATTTGATTGTTGACAAGTTAATTATTTAATTGATTGATTGATCGGTAATTGTTTTATTGATTGAACCCACCTGATGGATAAGAACTAGCATCGCCACACAGTTCCTCATTCTTATATATTATTCATATTTAAATTATGTAGGAATATATATGTAGACATTTCTGTATTTAGCTACTATATTAAATCTTGTTTCTATATTATCTATCATCCTTTCCTATCCAAAAACATATCTTGATATGTGTAACCAATTATATTCAGTATCGTTAATTAATTCGGGCCAACCACTCGAAACAACCAACCATGGTTAGGCGGGTCCAAACTGTATAGTAAATTGTGATTGCTTATTTGTAATATCTTGCTTTTTAGTTGAATAAAAATATAAAAAAGAAACAATAAAACAGACTGAATTGTAAACGGGAGAAGGAGGAAGATGGAAGGTGGAAGGAAAAAGGGGGAATTGGGAAGGATAAAAGAGGAAGGGGAAGGGGGACGTGGTAAAGGGGAATAGGAAAGGAGAAAGGGGAAAGATGGAAGGGTAAAGGGAAAAGGGAGAAGAGCGAATAGAGAAAGGGAAAGGAAAAGGAAAAAAGGAAAGGATGGAGGAAAGAGATAAAGGGAAAAGGGGAAGGGAGAAAGGAAAAAAGGAAAAAGGAAAAGGGGAAAAAGGAAAAAGGGGAAAATTGGAAAATGGGAAATTAGGAAAGGGAAAATGGGAAAAGGGGATGGGGTAAGGAAGGAAAGTGGAAAGGGGTTTAGAGAGGAAAGGGGGGAGGATTACGCAATTTGGTCGAAGAAAAACAAAACAATCCACTTTAAAATAACCGCTAATTAAAGAGTGTGGTTGAATAAAGTCTATTTATGGTTGAGCGCTATATGTACGCTGAAATATTAAGTTTGATAGATGTGCTCCATCAAGCAAACATAATCTTGGTATGAATACTGCATATTTTATAACAGTGTGGCCTGGCATGGATTTATTATTATGCTCAATATTGTCCTAATAAAAAGATACATGAAAATTAAAAATACGGGGTATAGTGCAATTTTGCAGTTTTGACGTTTATTGGATACATACAAACCTAAAGAAGTATATACATATATAAATTTTAAAAAAATTCTTAACTTTTAAAAATGATTATTTGGTTTAATGCTTATACAAACATGTAACCAGATGGTAAGTGCACTATAGGCTTTGTATGTAAATATATGTAAATTATTCAGTGTTGCCAAAAATGCATGAGACATTATAGACGACCTTGAACTGTTAAAAAGTGTATTTTGATTTGTTCTAGTAAAATAACCATGTGGTATCTTTACAAAAAAGATTTGTTTATAAGAACCTTAAAACTACAATAAACTCTGAAATAGGAAGACGACTTTTAGACTCAAGTTATGACTTTTATAAAGACTCCAATATGCATTGGACGCAAAAATTGTGCAGTGTTAACAGACCTATTTCACTTAATTTGGGATTTATTAAAGTAAAACTAAGTAAAACTATTTGCTTTGCAACAACAACAAATACACTTAAATATTTCTATAAAGTCGTCTTCCTATTTCAAAGTTTTCTGTTTATTACTCTATAAATGATACCTATTAAAATAAGTAATAGAAAAACGACATTTCATCAATTTTACATGTATTTGACATTGTTCTTAAGAAAAGTTCAACGAGTAGCTTCACTTTAAACTTGTATCATTTAAAATACAAATAATCGCTTTTGATCCCTACTAATCTTACTTATATCTATTAGTGCGTCTATAAGGAGAAAATTGTTATAACGACTTAAACTGAAGAACGTAGCGTCCATACAAATTCAGAAAGTTGCAACATTCAACTGGGATCATAAAATAAACAATTTAATTTCAAACAAATCATTCAGATATTACAACCAATAGTCATTGATTATTTTTCGGAGTATTCGTATATAGTTAATATTTAATAATATTTTTGATTTTATTTTTTTAAATAATATTCGCTGGCGCTGGATTTTCGAACATTCCTGGAAAATATGAAAATGTCGTCTTCATTATCAAAAATCCTCGAAACAGTTATCTACTCAGATAGTTATCTACTCAGATAATAGTCTACTCTGATAGTTATCTACTCAGATATTAGTCTACTCTGATAGTTATCTACTCAGATAGTTATCTACTCAGATAATAGTCTACTCTGATAGTTATCTACTCCGATAATAGTATACTCTGATAGTTATCTACTCAGATA